AGGCGGGGCATAGAGGACCTACAATAATGTACAGTATTTGAAAAAGAATGTGTTTTTTGCACAGTAGCACAGTAGCACACGGTTCAAGGTTAGTGTGTGTCCTTTTTATTGATTTCTAGATGATATTTCATTAACGTATGCCTGTTACGTTTGAAAGATGAAGCTGCGATTATGGTAAGGGTTGTTACATTTCCGATGAGTGCTTGTGGTGTTCGGCCAATCACAATGCACTGGGTCAGCTGGCCAATCAGAGCAGACTGCGCTTGTCGGAAGGAGGGACTTGTTTGAGAGAGGCGGGGCATAGAGGACCTACAATAATGTACAGTATTTGAAAAAGAATGTGTTTTTTGCACAGTAGCACACGGTTCAAGGTTAGTGTGTGTCCTTTTTGATTTCTAGATGATATTTCATTAACGTATGCCTGTTACGTTTTCGTTATTTTATCGCGATGTGTTAAATGTGATTGAAGTGAACGGTTATGACAACACAACTGTAATAGCTTTCATTTCGAAGCAGTTTCTAAAAACATTTAACTAGAATGCAGTAAGACAACCTTTAAAGAGATGTCAATGTGTTATTTTTGTTGTCATTCTTGCTTCATATACAAAATACATAATTTATTAATGACTGTTAATATTTACAATGTTGATTACCAACCCACTACTGCACATGAAAAAAGAATGTGTTTTTTGAACATTAAAGCATGTCAACATTGTTACACCAAATACACAAAATAATGAGCTTTAAAAAAAAGCATCATATGACCCCTTTAAACAGGCCCAAAATAAGTTTAAATGTTCATTTCGTTTGTGGAGTTGGATTATGGAGGAAGGAGAATTGCTTAATTTCTTTGATCAGATGTACTCATCATAAACCATGTTGTCTTTTTATTTATTAAAAAGAAATCAACCCTCTAACACTAGCGGTCTCTATTTTTTTCTATTCTACCTACTTGTTTTCTTTTTATTTATTATTAAAATAAAAAAAAACTTACATGTACTGCATTAGACTAACCGAGACTTGTCGCATCACTTACACATTATTGCTCTTTTGTTGGTTTGATTGCTTCTATTGTCCTAATTTCAAGCTTCTACTAAATGTAACTGTAAACCCATTACATTATAAACGGCAACTTTCTGCAAAATTAATGTATTTTCAATTATTATACACATATTTTAATGGAAATAATTTTATAATTAATATATTTATGTAATAAGTCATATATGATAAGAAATCATTTTAATTAATAAACATTTACAACTAAATATTAACAGATAAACTATGCTGGCACTCATTCAAAGCCCCACATGTCACAAAGGGGCAGTACCAAGGATGATGCATCCCAAGCAACCAAACACTCCCCCTTTTATAGGCACACAGGCACTAATTGGCTCATGAAACTTACCCAACCATGATAAAGTATGAACACTGATAGGTTCACCTGTTTGGGTAACGCCAGCCAATTATACTGGGTCTATAGCTCACTCTGCTACACTAGCAAGTGTAAATATAGCAAGTGTGATTTCACAGCTGTGATCATCCATTAGCAAGCTCAAAGCTGCATGCATTCTGATTTATAAAACAAACAAACAATGCCACTCGCTATATAGAATTTATGAGTTTATCAAAACAAGCCAAAAGAATTCTGTAATAATGATGTAGAAACAGTTGAACACTTATTTCTTCATTGTAATCTGGTTAATTCATTTTGGACTGAAGTATGTAATTGGATTAAACAAAGAATATCTATTTTTCCATCTAATACTTGGGACATGGTGAAATTCGGAGTACATTTGGAGGACGAAAGTGTAGACTTTGTTGTAAATTGTTCAAAACAAAATTAATAATTTAACAAAATTATTAAAATACTTTATTCCCAAATGTAAAGTTTTGAAAACAGCTCCCCAGTTTAATGTCTTTAAAAAGGAGCTTGCCATGTATACAGAGGTCCTAAAAATTATGAGAAGTGATAAGGCCAAGAAATTATTTGATTTGTTTAATAAGTGTGATTTTGTTTAATCCCCTACATTGTTTATGGTTGCATGAATGTATTTTTTTTATGTTATCTGGATTAATGTCTTGTATGGCGGTTTGTTTCTCTGTTGTAGTATGAATAATGTGAATACCTCAGTCTGTGAGGACATACAGTTGTGTTTATGTTAGCCTATTTTGTTCTGTTAAGATGTTGAAATGCAAAAAAAAAAAAACAAGCCCAAAGAAACTTATAACAAGCGGATATGGCAACACTGCTGAGGACCAACGTAAAGCCGCCATTCAGTATTCGCTGCTCCTATTGGCTATTTCCAGGCTGATCTGACCAATCACAGTTAATTTATTTATCACGCTGAACGTGGGAATACATACTGTGATCTTCTTGAAAGCACAGTAGCACACGGTTCAAGGTTAGTGTGTGTCCTTTTTATTGATTTCTAGATGATATTTCATTAACTTATGCCTGTTACGTTTTCGTTATTTTATCGCGATGTGTTAAATGTGATTGAAGTGAACGGTTATGACAACACAACTGTAATAGCTTTCATTTCGAAGCAGTTTCTAAAAACATTTAACTAGAATGCAGTGAGACAACCTTTAAAGAGATGTCAATATGTTATTTTTGTTGTCATTCTTGCTTCATATACAAAATACATAATTTATTAATGATGACTGTTAATATTTAATATTTACAATGTTGATTACCAACCCACTACTGCACATGGAGCATCAGTTCAGTTGCTTCCTTCGTAACATATTATTTATATACAATTTTTGTTACTATTTTACTATGAATGCGTAAATACTGTGTGTGTGTGTGTGTGTGTGTGTGTGTATATATATATATATATATATATATATATATATATATATATACAATACTATAGTGTAACAGTGTTAAAAATATAATTAGTTTCCAGAAGTAATGTTATGACATTGTTTAAAACATAATTAAATTGAACTGATTTCTGAACAGGTTGCTGTAGTTAAATCACTGTAACATGGGGGTGTTGTCAGCACTGATGCGGGGGCTCGTGAGAGGAGCCGACAGAATGGCCGAGTTCACAAGCAAGCGCGGGCCCAGGACATTCTACAAGAGCAGAGGTGCGAGACCCACTGGAGTCCTCACCTCCAGCAGAAAGTTCATACCTGTACAGGCCATGATACCAGAATTTGTGGTGCCCAATCTGGAAGGATTTAACCTGAAACCATATGTGTCATACAAGACCCCTGCAGGGACCGAGCCGCCCATGACTCCAGAGATGATCTTCAATCAGGTGGTGGCCCCACAGATCGAGAGAGACATTGAGGAAGGGGTTTTCAATGAGGAGAATCTTGAGAAATATGGATTAGAGAAAACACAAGGGGGGAAGCTGTTCAAGCTACATCCCAGGAACTTTGTTCGTTAAGTGGACTTTGTGTTTCAGTGGTTTGCTGATGGACTGTAAACAAGTGTATGATGTTTTCTTAAACTTCTGAACAGAAGTCATGAAAAATTTGTCTCTTCATCGGGAAATTATTAAAAACTACTGGAATGAAAATTTCAAACCCCTAGCAAAACTGATATATTGCCAGTGAATAATTTCGTAAAGCAGGGGTTTTCAAACTGGGGGGGGGGGTCAATGGAAATGTTCACAGAATTGGGTATTTAAAAAATGTAAAACCCCTACCTTAGAGAAACAATTTTACAAAAGAAATAAATGTAGACACTTGCATTTATTAATGGGGTTATGGTTTATTTGTTACAGAAGCTCTTTCTGGTTCTCGGTGTAAAACTAGAAAACATCCTTTTCATTTTCTAGCTAAAATATATAGTCAGAAAATGACACTCAGTTGAAATAAAGATACAGTATCTCATAATTGCATATACTGAATACTAAGCAAAACTGTATATGATGCAACGAAATGTGCAGGTCCAAGTAACCTCAACTTAAAAGGTTTTTAAAGCCCATCGTATCAGCTGCGTTCAGGAAGAGGGCACGGGTTCAGACGGCTTCTGTTTGTCCTCTGGGCTCCAGTGCCATCGCCACACATGCATCATGTGGTCGTAGAAGGAGCAGGTAGCCATCAGGCAGGACAGAGACTGGGAGACGGGGTCTGGAACTGAACTTTTTTTCTGGTAAAGAACACTGGTCAGGTAGGTACCGCCCCGAGTCATCCTCCAGAGAGGTGTCAAAGCTGGCGGTGGGCGATTCATACTGGATCCTGAGATGACCTCCAGACTCTGTGAGCCCAACGCTGGTTTGGGGAGGTTCTTGAGGCGAGGGGGGTGTGGAGTTGCTTAGGGGGAGTCTGGACCAGTCTGCTCCATATGCCAAGGAGTTGTGTAGAATATAGGAGGCCAGAACTGGGCATGGTGCATCTTGTCCCTCTACAAACGTGAATATTAGGGAGAAAAACAGCATGAAGAGTAGAATTCAAAATCAGGAACTGTTCAAAACCTAGGGATTGGTAAGATTTGTAATGTTTTTAAAAAGAAGTCTCTTATGCTCACCAAGCCTGCATGCATGTATAACTCTTTTCTATTTGAATATATTTTAAAATGTTATTTATTAATGTGATGGTTAAGCTGAATTTTTTATTCCAGTCTTCAGTGTTACTTGATCCTTCAGAAATCATTCTAATATGCTGATTTGTTTTTTATTTATTATTAACTTTTATTATTATTATTATTATTATTATTATTATTAATGACGAAAATTTGCTAGTTAATATTTTTTTTCTTGCAACCCATGATACATTTTAGTAAAATAAATAAATAAGAGTATTTAATTGAAATAGAAATAACAATTTTTTTTTTTTGATAAATGTAATGCATTCTTGGTGAATAAAAGAACTAATTTCTTTAAAAAAAAATAATTAATACATTGACCCCATACTTTTGACCAGTAGAGTACATTTTGTAATGGACATATATTAAGAGTAATTCTTACCCATAGCTTTCTGGCAGTGGAGAATATGGAAATCATTATGCATACATGCAGCTAGCAGCAGGTGCTCTTGACTGGGGTGCCACTTGAGTCTCCACACACCTCCACCCACTGCAGTCTCACTCAAGGGCTGCTTCATGTTCCTCCCGTCCCAGAGCAACACGTTCTCATCATAGCTGCAAGAGGAACAAACACATAAACCGCTACACTGTTGAAAGCAGTCAATGGACATTTTTTGCCCATGACATTTCACAAATGTGTAAAAAGTCATGGAAATGCAATCATGGATTTTTTTTTTCTTGCTGGAGCAAACGGGAATGGAAAAAAATATTTGTTACAGTCTCCCATGTACCCCAGTCGGGTTTTTTTTAACTTACTGTGTATGCTGCATACTCCCATAGTGTGTCTGTGACAGGAAAGCAGTATTTACAATGACTGCATAAACAGCACGAATAGTCATATAGAACATAAGTTAAACAGTGACTCAATAAATGCTATAAGTAATGTCGCTGGCTGAAAACCCATAGCTTGTGTCTGACCTCTTGCTAGTGAAGTTAGGGGAAGAGGGACCCATTCTCAGATCCCAGACCTTTAGTTTACAGTCATCAGCACCTGGGACAGCAGTTACACTAAAAGTTATGAAGTTCAGATAAATACTTTTACATAAAAACATAAATCAATGCAGTGTTATTTTAGTATTGTATAACATACTATTAATAATTTAAATTTTTAATTTTAATTACAATTTAGTCATTTTTGAGCTTGTAATTTGTATTCTTTTTTAATATTTCTGTCCTGTTTATTTTAGTTAGCTGACAAGTTTTTTCCACATTTTTCATCTATTTTTTATATTTTATTTTATTTTATTTCATTTCATTATATTCCAACCCTGAATCAATGAGCATACATGCAACAGCACCACAGATGGCTCCTTTTGCTTGCTCTTGCTCTCATACCTGAATAAACAATCTGTGTATCCCAGTAACTAAATGCTGAGATCCAGGCTTCAAAGTCATGAGCTTTCCACTGACACACAGCAGTTAAACTGGCTTCCCCTAGAGACAGCGCTGTGAGAGAGCCGCTCGAGTCACTGGACACCACACGCACATCACTGCTACAAAAACACAACAGTAACCATTATATACAGAGACAATGCAATGCCAAATCATCAGTCCATCAATGACGAGCGCACCTTGCCTCTCACCTCTCCCTGTGGACCAGTCTAAAGACAAGGCCAGTCTGTCAGGACCCAACCCTGTGCTCAACTCGTACTCCAGACAACATGTGCCCTGCTACTGGAGACACAGTCAAGTCACGCAGAAAACACTCAATGAAGTACAAATACAACAATAAAATACAGTGTCCAATGCCTACAGTGTTTACCTCATATAGATAGATAGATATCATTATTATAAAAGGGATAGTTCACTCAAAATTCACCCAAAAATTCTGTCATCATTTACTCAACCTCAATTTTCCCAACTTGTATGAATTTCTTTCTTCTGTTGAACATAAAAGAAGATATTTTGAAGAATGTGGGTAACCAAACGGCTGTTGGTCTCCATTGACTTCCATAGTATTAAAGTCAATGGAGACCAAAAACTGTTTGGATACAAAATATTTAAAATATATTCTTTTCTTGTTTTCAGCAAAAGAAAGAAATTCATACAGGTTTGGAACAACTTGAGGGTGAGTAAATGATGACAATTTTCATTTGTGGGTGAACTATTAATATGATAGCTAATTAATATTATTGAATGCATATAATATAAATAATATATTTAATACTTATTATTAATACTTCCGACGAGTGCTTGCGGTGTTCGGCCAATCACAATGCACTGGGTCAGCTGGCCAATCAGAGCAGACTGTGCTTGTCAAAGGAGGGGGCTTTGTAGAAAACTAAGCGTTTGAGAGAGGCGGGGCATAGAGGACCTACAATAATGTACAGTATTTGAAAAATTATGTGTTTTTTGAACATTAAAGCATGTCAACATATTCTGTTACACCAAATACACAAAATAATGATCTTTAAAAAAGCATCATATGACCCCTTTAAACTGAATTATCTAACCTAATTAAAATGCTGTAAAAAATTTAAAATCATATATATATTTTTATATATAGTTCTTTTTCTAGACCAGTCCTTGAATGTGCATTTCACCATGTAGCGTGAGTGTGTGATTTGTCACCTGAGGTTCTATAAGCTTGTACAACTGGATTTCTCCACTTGCAGTGGCCATACCCAACACTGGGCGCTCTGATATCGGCACGTGACACCTGAGAAATTAGAACAAATAAAACACTCACAATTCATGTGCATTGGCCAGTTACATAAAGCATTTGACTCAGCATCAACCCCATTACTGGCCATCTGTCAAGAGTGTTACCCTACCTCATATACACAGGGCAAGTGGTGAAAAATGGATGGATGCCATCACATACAATAAATAACATACATAACATATACACAAACTGTACAACATACAGTACAATATACATATGGAGTGTGTAAGTGAAGAGTGAATTGTAGTGAGCAGATGGAACAGTGAGATTCACTTACCATTTGAGGTCGAGTATAGCAGGAGTGTCTCTCCGCTGAGTCTCAGTCAGTGGAGGGGGTTACAGTCAAACAGGTAAAGTCGACCGATTCTGCTCGGTGCAGTACAGTTTTCTGCGGTTTGCTGTTAACAGAAAACACCGTTTCAATCTAGGACTGACCAGTTAATACCACACAATACCATAAACTAAAGCCGAAAGATATTTTGCATTACCTTCTCATCGCCTTTTTTGAAGTGGGTAAGTCCCACATGCCAGAACATGAGAGCACTGTGCTATTGGGCACCACTCCACGGTATCAGCGCTCAGCTCCGTGTCAAACACCTGCAGGGTTCGGGTTCGAGACTGCCAACCCATTTAAGGGGCTCGGCATAATATGAAGCAACTTAGAATAGATAATCGCAGCAACTGACCAAGAAATGACTGCACGCGTAACTTACTGTCAGTCTGTGACCCCTACATGCATGCAGCACTCTAGACCAGCTGTTTTATTTAAAATTGTAATTTTATATCATTTTTTATTTTAAATGAATAGTATGTATTATAACTTGGTGTCAAATATTAGTTTCCAGGTCATAAACATTTTCGTGTAACTTCGCCTTTTATCGTTTTTACGAGGTAAACAGGACGCGAATGGCACAGCAACTTCCGGGTTGCTGAGTGAGGGCTGTCTGACCGGTGTTACGAGATTTTCGGTTTCCGAGATTTTCTGTTTCAGTGGGCGGAGCATACATGAATATTCATGAGTTCCCGGACTTGCGCGTGGAACCCTTATATATATATGCCATTAAACCTGCTGAGATACAAGGAGCGTGAACTGAAATTCTCAGTTCCACTTGGTTCCACGCGCAAGTCCGGGAACTCATGAATATTAATGTACACTGAAACAGAAAATCTCGGAAACCGAAAATCTCGTAACACCGGCTGAGCGTTTAAATCGCGCTCTTGATGTTTATGAGGAGCAGTTCCTGGTTGAAGCATGTAGTTTTCAAATTTTTATGATGTGATTTTAAGTTAAATGAGTATGGAGCAAAACTCCGAGTCAAAATCTGTTCTTTGCACATTGCTGGATAAGAACGACCAGTCCAAATATGTGTTTTTTTACGCAGAAACGATCAGCAGGTGACATAAACATAGGGTGAGTTGAC